AGTAGCTGATTATCCTGTGTGCTGGAACTGGAACTGTAGACCTCGGCAGGAGTAGAAAGTACTCTTAACCACCGAGCCATCTCTCCAGCTGCAATTTATTGTGTCGTCTAGTTACTGCTGGGTCAGCAGGACTAAAAGTTGGCCTGAAGGGCTGAAACTGGCTTTCCTGGCTGGGAAGAATCGGGGTTCAGAGCTGGGAACTTCCCATAACACAGTGACAGGAGACTGTCAGCCCAGCTTTCCTCCTCCTTGACCTCTGTCTCTGTCCCATCTAGTTCGTTCCCAGGACCCTGGACAGCGGCGGGTGCTGGACCGGGCAGCCCGGCAGCGACGGATCAATCGACAGCTCGAGGCTTTAGAAAATGACAATTTCCAGGATGACCCCCACGCAGGCCTCCCCCAGCTGGGCAAGAGGCTACCGCAGTTTGATGATGATGCAGACACAGGTGAGGTGGGAGTTGTAGAGGAGAGAATGAGATTGTGTCAGGGAGCTCCTTACAGCCTTTTACTGCAAATGCTGAGGAGCAGAGATGGGAATTGAATCTTTATTGTATTTTTAATTGTGTGTGTGTGTGTGTGTGTGTGTGTGTGTGTGTTCATGCATATGTGTGCATGTGGAGATCAGAAGAAAACTTATAGGAATTGGTTCTCACCTTCTACCATATAGCTTCCAGAGTTTGAACTTGGGTCATTCAGGTTGCTGTTTTTTGGCAGCAGGTGCCCTTATTCACTGGGCAATCTTACCAGCGCCTGGTTCTTTAAAACTTGCATTTATTCAGAGACCCGACAATCTGAGAAGACCATGTATTACTATTCTAAAGAACCATCTTCAGTCAGCAGGTTATAGACAGACAAAAGGCTGTCAGTCATTGTGGATTGATTGACATTCAGGCGTTCCCCTCTGTGTCAGGTGTCAGCCACATTTCTGAGACTTGTGATGGCTGTACCTTTCATTGTCATCCCTTGTACTTGTCCCTCATCCTGTGGATGTCTGGGCTGGGCTCAGGCACTTTGAACCACTGAGTCAAGTTAGTGTCCACTGGTTCACCTTTGTACTCCAAGGACACCTGAACTGGGAGGGAGGGGTTAACTCAACAAAACAACCATCAGCAGCTGTATACACTAGGCTAGTAATAAATGTACGTGCCTGTTCTTTCTCTGTTCTTTGTATTGTAGGGAGGGTTTTGTCTGTCTGTCTGTCTGAGACAGGGTCTCTCTACATAGACCAGATAGGCATTGAACTCACAGAGATCCACTTGCCTCTGCTTCCCAGGTGCTGGATTAAAGGTGTGTGCTATCATGCCCAGTGAGATTTTTAAAAATTTAAGCAATTTCTTTTGTTTTATTTGTACATGTGTGTTGTGTCAGATGTTGGTTTCCGTGGAAGAATTGGGGGCATTCCAGGATGAATTTTAGCCTTTGCAACCACAGGGGAGTCAGCCTCTGGCAAACTGACTGCCTGTAGCTTAGCCAAGGGGTCCTTTATTGTTATACAATTTACACATTTTAGCAAGTTAATTTCTGCAAACCAAAACCTCCTCAAAGAGACAAATGCCAAAGCAGTTCCCAACCACAGGGCATCTCAGTTTGCTGAGTCCTCCTGTAGCCAAGTTTTGCATAGGCTTGAACCTTTAGCAAACACTCAAATAGGATTTACATATTTCTAAGACCAAACTGGACTCCCTTAATATAGGTGACAATGGTGCGGCTGGAACAATATATGAGGGCACTGGCAGTGGGTCCAAGATCTAACTCTAATGCACAAACTGACTTAGTGGAGCCCATTCTATATGGAGAGATACCTTGCTCAGCCTAAACACAGGGGTGTGGGGATGGAGAGGTGCCTCGGTCCTGCCTCAACTAGATGTTGAGACAGACTTAGTAGACTTCCTAGGGGAGGCCTTACCCTCTCTGAGGAGCAGATGGGAGGGTTAGGTAGGAGTGGGAGGAGAGGAGGGAGGGGGAAGTGGGATTGGAATATAAAAAATAAACTAATAAAAAGATTTACATATTTCAAACAGAAGGTACAGGACAGAAAAGGCAGCAGCACAAAAGGCAGACAAAAGCCAGGTGCTAACACTCCAGAATCAAACCAGCTGCAGAGCTCTCAACACACACACACCTAGGGGGACTTGGCATGTGGGTGGGCGTTAGAGGACCACTTTCAGGAGTTGGTTCTCTCTTTTGTAATGTGAGTCCTAGGGATGGACTCAGGCTGTTAGGCTTGACAGCAAGTGCCTTTACCCACTGAGCCATCTTGCTGACTCAAGTGTGTCTTTATAAAACAGAATATAAAAGTATCCTTGCTAGCCAGGCGTTGGTGGCACACACCTTTAATCCCAGCACTCAAGAGGCAGAGGCAGGTGGATCTCTATGAGTTTGAGCCAGGTCTACAGAGCAAGCTCCAGGACAGGCTCCAAAGCTACACAGGGAAATCCTGTCTCAAAAACAAACAAAAAACTATTCCTGTCACTGGGGGAGGAAAGGAAAGGAGTCGGGACTGTGGAGGACCATGTGGAAAAGGTCCCAGCAGGGAGGTGACTTGAAACTACTTGTGGCTTTGCCAATGACTAGCTCCTGTGTTGGGAGCAACTATCTTCCCCTCTCTACACCTGGTTTCTTCACGGGTGTGAAATAAAAAAAGATGGAGCAACAAGGTATGATGATGTTTGCCTATAAACCTAGCTCACAGAAAGCTGAGGCAGGAGAATTGCCAAG